AAGACGGCTCAAGAGGTGCCTAAGAAGACCCAAGAGGGTCCCAAGACGGCGTCGAGAAGGACCCAAGGGGGCGAACACGAACCGACAGCTAAAGCATTATGTCCCAAGAGGCCCGCAGGAAACCCAAGAGGATCCGAAGAGGCCCCCCAAAGGTCCCAAGATGCCCCCTAAGGCCCCCAAGAGTCCCCAGGATGCCCCCCCTACCCACGTGATCTAAACGAAGATGCAAGGGGCCGATGGCCCATAACCCAGGCAAGGAGGTGGACATAGTCGCAGACCACTCGAAACGTACATGCACAGTTAGATGTGTACACATGGCGGTGACAGCGGCGGTGGTCGCCATCGTCGCCATGGCAGACATGGCGGTGATGGCGATCGCGAGAGTGCCCGAGATACCAGAGGTAGCCGTAGCGTATCTATGACTCCGAACCGAAGCGCGGAGGTTCCAGTAGGTGTATACTTAGTACCCCGCAGTTGCGGATCAGTGTGCGGTGGAGGCGTGGACGTCGGCAGTCTGCGAGGCTCTGCAGAAGCCCGCCGCAGGCGCCACATGTTTTCACAAATTATACCACGGCCTCGCCGCAGGCGCCGAATGTTTCTGTCAAAACAATGTTGGTGTGTCGCAGGGTGGGTCGCGGGTGGGTCGCGGGTGGGTCGCGGTTGGTTCGCGGATGGATCGCGGACCGGGTCGCCTGTCGGGCCGTGGGTGGGCCGCGGGTGGGTTGCGGGTGGGTTGCGGGTGGGTCGCGCGCGGGTCGCGGGGTGGGTCGCGGGTGGGTCGCGGGTGGGTTGCGGGCCGGGTCGCGGGTTGGGTCGGGGATGGGTCGCGGGTGAGTCGCGGGCCAGGTTGCGAGGGGGACGACGACAATTAACAACAGACAGCGGCAGCAAGCAACACCAAGTCGCACCGATGAACCGCATGCGAGCCACGCGCCCAGTTGCAGTGAAGGGCCGTTCGGCCCCTTCACTCTGATATATATATATATATACATATATCGAGAAATGCGTATATACGTGCAAACATCTGTACACATACATTACACCTATATATGTGTACATATATATACATGTGTATATATGTACACATCTACACACATAGATATATATATATATATATAAAAAAATATATATACATATATATATATATATATATACATTATACGTCGCACCCTGCAGATGCGGATAAGAATGAGGGGGCGGTGGGGACGTCGGCAGTTTGCGAGTCTTTGGAGAAGCCCGCCGCAGGCGCCAAACTTTCACAAATTACGCAACGAGCCCGCCGCAGGCGCCGATTTTTTCGTTAAACCAATGTGGGAAGGTCGCTGGTGGGTCGCAAATGAGTCGCGGGTGGGTCGGGGGTGGGTCGCGGGCGGGTCGTGGGTGGGTCGCGGGTGGGTCGCGGATGGGTCGCGGGTGGGTCGCGGGTGGGTCGCGGGGTGGGTCGCGGGTGGGTCGGGGGTCGGGTGGGTCGCGGGGTGGGTCGCGGGGTGTGGGTCGCGGGTGGGTCGCGGGTGAGTCGCGGGTGGGTCGCGCTCGCGGGCTGGGTCGCGGGTGGGTCGCGCGCGGGTCGCGGGCCGGGTCGCGGGTGGGTCGCGGATGGGTCGCGGGGGGGTCGCGGGCCAGGTCGCGAGGGGGACGACGACAACAAACAACAAACAACAGACAGCAAGCAGCAACAAGTCGCCCCGCAGAACCTCACTTGAGCCACGCGCCCAGTGGCAGTGAATGGCCGTTCGGCCCCGTCTCTCTGATACATAGTCCGGGTTTCTTCATAAGCGTCGGGGGGGCGTCACCCCCGCCGACAGCCCCATATCGACCCCCGTCGCGGGCAGCCACCGCGCGCCAAAGGCGCTCCGACCTCCGTCGCGGCGCGACGACGAGGCGAGGTTGACCCCCGTCGTGGGGGTACCTCCCACGCTTATTAAGAAACCCGTCGTGTGCGGGCCCCAGGGCTGCCACCCGTCGTGGCGCTGGCATGGTATGCCCATCGGGGCTGTAAACAGACACATATATATATATACATACATATACACATACATTTATCTCTATGCATATACATATATATATATATATGTGTATGTATACATATATATACATATACATATATGTGTATATATATATAGGTTTTGCTGGGAGGTGCGCGTGCGAGCGGGGCACTCACTTGTTCGCTCGCCGATGTTCGGCGCAGCCTCGGCCGCCGCGTCCGGCCGCGCCCGCGAGCTGGACGCCCCGAGGTTTTTCCGGAGCGCCTCGGCTTGGTCCCAGAGACCGTTCATTGGTCCTGGGGTTGCGCCCGAGAGGCACCATTGTGAGCGCGTTTCCTGCGGAAATCTTGCCGATCTCTGCTCTGCCTATTGAAAGTGGGTCAACGAATTTCCTTCCGGCGCCATGCTGACTGCGGTGCTCGTGGCGCGCAGCTTTTCAAACGTCCAGCACATGGTAGCCCGCCAACATGTCGATCATTTCAAGCATACAACTTGTCCATTGATACCTGTCGCGGTGGGAAAAACTATGAGCGTGTTTCCTGACTGCTCGGGGCATGATGGGCATTAGAGCTGCCGGCCCCCCGCCTCCCCCCATAACGTAACGCCCGTTCCGCCCCCATTGCGCTCTGGGCGCTGCCGCCGTGCGCACGGCGGCGGGGTCATGGCGCCAACATCGCAGAGCGGATTTCGTTCGGAAAACGATAGGATGGGCCCGGAGTGTCCCAGAGAAGTTCGTTCTGGATTTCGAGGTGATATTCGTGCGGATTTTTTTTGGCCAGGAATGAAGACCGAACAAAAATCCACTCGAAATTCACGTCGTTTTTCGCCCGCCGTTTCCGGGTTTGGCATTGGCAGAAATCCACGCACAAATCCGTTGCAGCACGTTTGCAAGGTCGGTGCAGTGAGAGAGGCACTTTTATTCGGCGGTGGACAAACCTCCCTTGAGTAAACCACCCTGTAGTGAAACCGGTCTAGGACCGAAACCGACGGACCTGGACCCGCAAAGATGACGGCCGCGACGCCCTCTCGCGAACCGAAATCGGACAATTCGTTAATCGACGTACGAGGAGGGTAGGAGATCTATCAACTTCCGGCCTACTTCGGTAGCAAATCAGTGAGTTTTGTATACCCTCGTCACTCCGTCTTCAGTGCGCACTAGCGTCACTCAGCGTCTGGGAGTCGATGGGACAGTTCCGAATGAACGCCGATCAGCGTTGAGTTGCGTCGATGAGCGCCGATTCGCAGGAGCCAACAAGGCGGTGTGGCGGCTCCCTTGAGACGCCACTGGGATATCAGAGGCAACGTCAAACAAGGGTAAGCCCAGGCCGACCCCCAATCCCGTCCACCAATCGCCGAGAGGGGCCTGATAGCCCACGCCGCCCAGGAGGCAGCGAATTCGCCATCGGAGAATCATCGCCGATCTGTCGGCGATGCATCGCCGATTCCAAGGCCGACGTCCCCCCCCTGAGCCAGTCCCCTCCGAGCGTTCCTCTCCACAGGAGGCGCCACGAGGTGCTCGAAAGACTTCGGGCGATGCCGTGGGAGGCCCCAGGAGAGTCGGGTCGGGCGAAAGGGGGGGATTGGGAAAGGGGGGGTTACGAAATTTGCTGCATGCAGCTGGTTTCGGCCTCACCGAGGGGCCCATTCCTCGATACATGGGCCGCCTCCGGCGCCGGGAGGCGCCGGGAAAATCAGCTACGTGAGCTGATTCTCAAACCCCCCCTTTGCTATCCCCCCCTTTCGCCCGACCCGAGAGAGGCCCGAGAGTGTACAGCTGATATGAGCCTGTATGTTGTGGGTGCATTTGGTGTTCCAGGCTTTTCGCCCCCAGGGTTCAACAGGCCTGCACACGGCGCTGGGGTGGCACAATAAGCCTCAGAGACGGCCCCAAGGCTCCCAAGAGGGTCCCAGATAGCCTCGCAGTGTGCCGTGAACCTTCCAATGGTCGCAAGAGAGCCCTAGGACGGAACCCGATCGCTCCCGAAGGACCCAGGACTGCGTTGGACATGCGAGAGGGTCCTCAGGAGACGCCATGATGGCCCAAGAGGCCCAAGATGCGCCCGATATTGCCCAAGAGAGCTCCCAGCATGGCCCCAAGATCCACGAGCAGCGCAGCGAGCAGCAACGGACACTAGCAGCCTGCAGTGGCAGCCAGCAGCAGGCAATTGTAATGAGCAGTACCGGGACGCGTCAGCAATCAGCAATAGTAAGTTGCAACAGCGGGGGTCAACAGCAGCAGAGGCAGGCGGCAGCAGCACGTGCTCACATGGTCAGCACAATGTTGCAGCAAGCAGCAGCGTGCACGGAACAACAACCAGCACAACATCAAGAGGCAAGGAGGTGCACCACACCGCGGCTGGCAGCAGCACGTACCAGCACCGTGCAGGCAGTAGCAGCAAAGAACAGTACACAGCGGGACGCAGCAGCGATGAATACGCAACCACACAAGAAGGCAGGCCATTAGGCCAGCGCACAAACAGACACGAACATGCCTGGCCAGCACATTTGCAACCACACAGGTTATGCAGCACACACACACACGTGTAAGCAAGCCAACGTACCTACTACGCTGCAGCATGCATCAAACGGCATGATCGTCAAGCCGCAGCAAGTAGAGACGTCATGCATTTGTTCGTTGAGAACAAGTGGACCCCTAACTCTAATAACACGATGAAGACGGGGCCTCACTGAGGTCCCCGTCTTCAAATTCGGGGTAATGCATCCGGGCGGTTTTGCCTGACACATCTGAAGAGCAGACCCCCTTATCCCTAATGCTTCTGGCCCTCCTAGTTGAGGTCCCCTCCCAAAGGCTCAGGCTTCCTTCATTCGTCAATCATACAGCATCAAGGAACACCACTCAGCGGCAACCAGGATCAGCAAGCGGCATTAACAGGAGCACGTACCAGCAAAGGTCGGGAGGGGCGCAGGCATTTGGTGTCTGGCCACTAGAAAACATAACGTTCGGATCGGGACGTAACAGACTAAGCAGTTTGAGTCTAAAAGGCTAGCCGTGAGCTACAGCAGTGGGATAAGTGCGTGCGGAAAAGGAGGGCAATGGCAGCAGGCATTGTCAATGCTAAGAGGGATGCGGAATGCGAAGGTGACCCCTAATGTCATTAGCTACTGTGCTGGCATCAGCGCGAGCGCGACTGGTGGCCAGTGGCAGCATGCAATTGCAATGCTCAGCGAGATGTGGGATACGAACCTGGACCCCAATACCTTCTGCTACAATGCTGCCATCGCTGCGTGTGCTAAAGATGGAAGGTGGCAGGACGCATTGGCATTGCGCAGCGAGCTCTGCGCGGCGAATTTGAAACAGGATGCCTACAGCTTCGGCTCTGCGATGAGTGCGTGCGTCGAAGGCGGGGAGTGGCAACCCGCCTTGTCATTGTTTGGCGACATGTTAGAGGCAACGTTGGAGCCCAACGTCATTACTTACTCCGCTGGAATCAGCGCATGTGGGATGGGCGGTCAGTGGCAGCAGGCGTTGTCGTTGCTCTGCGAGCTGTGGACTTCTCAACATGATATGGACGAGGTCCTTTTCGGCGCAGCCATTAGTGCGTGCGAAAATGGCCAACAGTGGCTGTATGCGCTATCACTTCTGAGCGACATGAATGCGGCGAAGTTGACACCTACAGTCATCTGCTTCAGTGCTGCAGCCAGCGCGTGCGGGACATGTGGGCAGTGGCGCGAGGCGATGTTGCTGCTGTGGGAAACGCGGCTCGCGAATCTGGAGCCAGATACTATCACTTACAACGCTTGCATTGTTGCGTGCGAGACGGGCGGTCAATGGCAGATGGCCCTGAACGTGCTAAGCGAGCTGCGGAGTGTGGGTGTGGAACCAAACGCAAACAGCTACAGGGCTGGAATTAGCGCTTGCAGTAGAGGTGGTCAATGGCAGCACGCGTTGATACTCTTCGGGGAGTCGTTGGGATTAGGACTGGAACCGGACGTGAGGCTTTACTCTGCTGGTGTCAGCGCTTGCGAGGAAGGCGGGCAATGGAAGCAGGCATTGTCTCTTTTGAGCGGGTGCAGGGCGGCGAAACTCGAGCCGGATGTTATCAGCTACTGTGCTGGGATCAGCGCGTGCGGGTCGGGCAAGCAGTGGCAGCAGGCGCTGTCGCTGTTCAGCGAAATTCGAACGGTGAAGTTGGAACCAACTACCATCAGCTTCAACGCGGTAATCAGCGCGTGCGAAGAAGGCGGCCAGTGGCGGAATGCTTTGTCGCTGTTCAGCGAAATGGGCACGGCAAAGGTAGAAGCCAACCTAGGTAGCTTCAACGCTGGTATCCGCGCGTGCGTGGAAGGCGAACACTGGCAGCGAGCATTGTCGCTCTTCAGCGTCTTGCGGGAAACGACATTGGAGCCAGACGTCATCAGCTACACGGGTGCGATCAGCGCAGTGGGGAGCAGTGGCATTATTGGCAGCAGAGGCGTTGTGTGGCGGCAGGTTGTTGCGATGTTCGGCGAGATGCGTGAGGTCAGCATAGAGCCGAACACCATGAGCTACACTGCTGGATTGATGGCCTGCGGGAAGCCGTGGGAAGTTAATGCGTTGCTCAATGAGATGAGGGAGATCAATATGGAACCGAATGTCCGCAGCTACAGCGCCGCAATAAGGGTGTGCGTGAAAGGTGAGTTTTGGGAGGAAGCTCTGTCGCTATTCAGCGACTTGAAGGGAGCGCAGCTGCAGCCAGATCTCATCAGCTACAGCAATTTGATCAGCGCGTGCGGGAAAGACGTGCAGTGGCAGGGAGCACTGTCATTGTTCGACGAGTTGTGGAAGTCAAACGTTGAACTTGACCGCTCTAGTTTCGATGCTGCGATTGCCGCGTGCGAGAAAGGCTCTGAGTGGGAGCGAGCGCTGTATTTGCTCAGTGAATCAAAGAAAGCACGATTGACAGGTTTCACTAGCTACGTTGCTACTGTAGTCGCGTGCCGGAATGCGCTCGAGGATCATTGGGTTTCGCGGTTGCTTGGGGAGTTGTGGGAGGCTAGGTTAGAGCCGGAGGTCACCATGTACGGTGCTGGGAAGATAGGCGAGGTGTGTGAGGCAGTTGGACAGTGGCAACAGGCGTTGCTGCTGTTCGGCGAGATGTTGAAAGCAAAGTTGGATTTGGATACCCGCGGTTACAATGCAGGAGTCCGATTGGCCAGCGCTGGCGATCAGTGGGGCTTGGCGTTGAGTTTGTTTCTCGAGATGCGCGAGACGCAGTTGGATCTTGACCTTGTGAGCTATAACCATGGAATCCGTGCCTACGGGAAATGTTCGCAATGGCAGCACGCGCTGTCTTTGCTTAGAGAGATGAGTAGGGCAAGAGAGAAGCCAGACGTCAACAGCTACAGTGCCGGAATGTCGGCATGCGAGGAGGCCGAGCAGTGGGAGCGGACGTTGTCATTGTTCTACGAGTTGAGGGCGATGCGGCTGGATCACGACGTTATCAGCTACAGCGCTGGAATCAGTGCGCTTAGGCAGGCGGGGCAGTGGCAGCAGGCGTTGTCGTTGCTCAGCGAGGTGATGGATCAGAAGCTGGAGCTGGACGTAGTCGTCTGCTCTGCTGGAATCAGCGCGTGCGCGACAGGCGGACAATGGCAGGTGGCGCTTTTGATGCTTAACGAGATGAGAGAGGTTTCCGTGGAGCCCAATATCTACAGTTACAACGCATGCATCAGCGCGTGCGGAGGCGACACCACATTGAGTCGGGCTTTGCTCGCTCGGTCCTTGCTCAACGAAATAAGGTTTGTGAGGCTTCAGCCAGACGTCATCAGCTATAACGCTGCCATCTCCGCCTGCGAGAAGGAAGCTTCCTGGAGTGAAGCCTTGGAGCTTCTGAGGGAACTGCGTGAGGTTGAGATTGAGCCCACAACTACGAGCTACAATTCTTGCATTAGCGCGTGCAGTGAAATCGGGAATTGGGAGCACGCTACGCATGTATTCGACAAGTTGACAGAGGCGAACTTCCAGCCGGACATCTTCAGCTACACTGCTCTGATGAGGGCGTTCAGAGGACGAACTGACGGGAAGTGGGAAACTGCCTTGTGGTGGTTTGGCGAGTTGAGGAGGGCCAGGTTGGAACCTGGAGTTATTACTTACAGCACTGGGATTGGAGCCTGTGAGACAGAAGGACAGTGGGAACGGTCCTTGTCGCTGCTCCGCGAGATGGTGGAGACGACTGTGGAGCCGGATGATCTCGCCTACAACTGCGTTGTGAGGGCGGCGACCATAGGCGATCAGTGGCAGCTTGCCCTGCTCCTGTTCGGCGAGTCGCACGCGATGAATATGGCGCGCACCGTCGAGAGCTACAATGCCGCGATCGTGGCGTACCAGGTCGGCGGGCAGTGGGAGCAGGTGCTGGATCTCCTGGCGCAGCTGACAGCGCTCGAAATGGCGCCCAACACCCTCAGCTACGAGTCAGCAATCAGCGCCCTGATGGGCAAGGGCAGCGCTGCTGAGTGATCTGTAGCAGCGCGTGTCCAAAGACGACAACACACACACACACACGCACACTTTTTTTGTTGGCGTCGGCGGCTAGCTTCGCTGGCGATGAGCTACCTAAACGGGAGTGCCATTGTAGCCAAGTGCGCCACCATGTAGGAGGAGGGTAGAGGCAGAGGACGCGGCCGAAAAGAGGCCACTCAGGGGGAGCGAGGCCACTCAGGGGGACGGGTCACGTCCCGAGCGTGTGGCGCTGCCGGCCGGCCCCGCCGGCGGGGCCGCGGCGGCTGCTGCACCGGGGGGGGGGGGGCGGCGGCGGCGGGGCGCAGTGCGAGGGCAGGGGTTACCCTTAAGCCGGGCCTGCCCCTCTACAGGAGGAATATTCAAGAGTAGCAAAAAACATGTTATGGGGACTATTGTTTCAGTATTTTTGTATATGTCTTAGAGAATTCTCGAGTATTTTTCCTTTTTCGTCCACAGTCCGCCTGTAGGGGGACATGCCCGACCTAAGACTACCCCAGTGGGGCAAGGGTGCACAACTGTCGTTGTGGAGCCAACGTTTAGTGGCCGCGTATTCCCCAGGGCGGGGGTGGGTGTGGCGTCCAACAAGAAGCTGGGGCGCAGGCGGCGGGCGGCAAGACCAAGCCCGGGGGGTCAGCACGCACACACACACACACACACACAACACACACAACACACACACACACACAAACACACAAACACACACGCACACGCACACGCACACGCACACGCACACGCACACGCACACGCACACGCACACGCACGCGCGCACACAACGTCTTGGGTACGAGTACACAGCGCTTCGGGTACACAGCGTCTTGGGGACAAGCAACGTCTTGGCACTTCTACCGTAGCGTTGCGTCTTTCTTCACTCCCCTTGCCCCCCCCCCCCCCCTCTTTGGGCCTTTGATTTTCCTGGACGCATTTGCGACGGCTGCCGTCCTTGGTCTCGGCACTTTTGTTGTCCAGCCATCTCAGGCGATTGGTTCGCACCCCTGCCCATGGAAACGTAATATTAGAGTTTGCTGGAGCTCGGGTTTGCAATTTGGTTCGGCGGTTCAAGCTCGGATTCGAACGGTCCATTGTTTGTCATCTGTTTGCATTACGGGACATGGCTTTGAGAACCAACAGACGGATCGACGTACATACTCATTGTACTACACCGCATGCTTCTATTGAATGAAGATCATACAGCTATTGGCCGTGTAGCGCACGGCGGGGCGCCAGGCTTTCAAAGAGCAAGCTTGAAGCTTCAGCCTTACGCTTGAGCTCGGAACGTCAGATCTGATCTGGCCGGTCTGGTTGGACTGGTTTGAGCTTAGTCCTAAAGCCTTAGCTGAAGATTAAGGCCTGAGCTAAAGGGAGAGTGGGTTAGGGGAGGTCCAGGGAGGCAGCGCCAGCCACTACGACGACCGAGAAACCAGTTGCATTGCTGTTTTTGTGTGCTTTTCTGTTTGTTTTGCACATGGTCTGGCTGGTCTGGTTGGTCTGGTTCGAGCTCAGTCCTGGTGGCTTAGCTGAGGTTTCGGGCGAGAGTGGTTGAGGGGAGGTCCGGGGAGACAGCGCCAACTGCTACGACCACCGAAAGCCAGTTTTGTTGGCCTTGCAGTTTTCTCCCCACCCGACAGGTTGGGGCTGCTAGATGTCAAGAGCAGGCCCCCCAGCCAACCCCACCCTGCATACCGCGGCCGCCAGACCCCAAGTTGTCCCGATGATAATCCCGGGTATCTCGCCTTGCTCCCGGCCAACCCCACGCTGCATACCGGGGCCGCCAGACCCCAAGTTGTCCCGATGATCCCCGAGAGTCCCGGGTGTCCCGCCTCGCGGTTGTCCAACCCCACCCTGCATACCGCGGCACCCAGACCTTAAGAATGTCCCGATGATCCCCGAAAGTTCTGGGCGTCCTGCCTCGTGCCCTCGGCCAACACGACAGAACACAACATCAGAACATGACAGAAGTGAACAGAGCATGACAGAACATTACATATCCGAACACGAGCATGGCATAACATTACATACTAGAACATAGTATCGTCACAATAAAACAGAGCAGATCAAACCATCACGGAACATAACATAGCCGTTTTGACATAACAGAATACGACAGGACACAACATAACGTAACATAGTCGAGCATATCATAACACACGTTAGGATCATATTATGGCGTTGCATCATATACCAAGTCTTAACACGACAGCAGAGCATAGCGACGGCGAACACGGCATACAATAACATACCCCCCCCGGTCACGCGCGTGACCGGCCCGAATAAACGAACGGGCTCCGGGGGAGCCAGCATAGTGGGGCCCCACCCAGATTTAGATTCGACCTCGCCATCCCTGGAGGGCTGCGAGCTGCGAAATTGCCCGCACTTTCGAGGACTGCCGGGGGGGGGGCAGCAGAGTGAGGCCCAACGTAGATTTAAATTCGTCCTCGTCATCCCTGGGGGCTGCGATCTGCGAAACAGCTGCCACTTTCGAGGGTTTGCTGGGGTGTCCAGCGGAGTGAGACCTCACGCAGGCTGAAATCATACCTCGCCATCCATGGGGGGCTGCGATCTGCGAAACGGATTGCTGGGGTGGCCAACAACGGGCTCACATTGATCAGACTTCGCCAAACATGGGGGGCTGCCATTTGCGAAACTGTCGCCATTTTCGAGGGTTGCTGGAGGGGGCAGCTTAGTGCGGCGCTGCGCAGATCAGAGTGGGACCTCGCCATCTTTGGGGTGTTGCGAGCAGCGAGCCTGTCGCCACTTTCCAGGGCTGCAGGGGGCTCCAGCGGAGTAACGTCTTCAGCAAATTCAGATTCGACCTCGCCACACCTTTTGGGGGGGGGGGGGCGCGAGCTGCGAACCTGTCGCCAGGCTCGGGGGCTCCTGGAGGGCCCAGCACAGTGGGGGGTCTTCCGCAGATTCGACCTATCCCTCCCTGGGGGGAGGGGTGCGATCTGCGGAACCGTCGCCCCTTTCGAGGGCCGATTGCTGGCATGCTTCGAAACATCATGTCATTTCTGTCCTTGCTCTGACCGTCTTTTGTCGTCATTCCCGTGCTGTCCCCGTGCTGCTGCCCCGCGTACGTTTCACACTGCCTGTCTGTCTCCTCCTATTCGTCCTCGCCCCGCTTTCGCCTCGACCCAGGGAATCAACTCATCATCTCCATCAACTGTGTCCACTGATCGGTGTCCTTCGGGCCGCGCACTTCGCGAGCCTCCCACATACCGCTCGCAGCACATATATATATATATATATATGTATATCTATATATCCCTTTGCCACGCCACCACCCCCCACCGAGCCCGCCCAGCTATCCTGGCCGTGCGCTGCGCAAGGGCAGGGTACATCGCCAGGGTAATTGTACACTCCAGGCGATGCTTAAGAAAACCCAAGTTTTCGGCCAGAGTCTCGATTATTCTTAACGTTTCAGTGTACATCCCAAGATTTTGACAGAAATTCTGTGTTTTTATTCAAATTCTGAGACTATGAATTTCTTAACCCATGATTTCTTAAGCATTTCGCAGGGTGTACGTTTCTTTCCCTTGTCCTCCCCCTCTGCCCCCGCAGAGGTGAGTTCAACGCCGCCGCGGAGGGCAGCGACAGCGGTGCCTGATCCCAGTTCGGGGAGGGAAGAGGGATCGGCCGGCGGCGAGCCCGGGGGAAGTCGGAGGGGCCGGCGGGCCGGCCTTCTCAGAGAGCTCGGACCGTTGAGAAGGTTTTAGATCATTCTCCAGTGACAGAGATTGTCCCCCCTTGGTTCGCCGCGGAATGAGGGTGAGGAGGAGGAGGAGGAGGAGGAGGAGGAGGAGGAGGAGGAGGAGGAGGTGGGGAGGACTAGAGGAGGAGGAGGAGGTAGAGGAGGAGGAGGAGGAGGAGGAGGAGGAGGAGGAGGAGGATCGACGCCGTTGGACGTTCCCCTGCTCCCTCATGTATCTCCTTCCACTGCTCCTTTTCCTTGTTGAGTTTCGTAACTCCTCGATCCTCTCTCTTCGTCGTCATCTTTCCCCTCCTCCTCCTCCCTCTTCTCCTTCCTACTTCTCCCGTCACCTGGTAGGGAGAGGGAGGGCGCGAAGGAGGAACAGTAGGAGGAAAGGGGGGGTACGAGGAGGAGGAACAGAGCCAGGAGCAGGAAGAGAGCGAGGAGGGGGAGGGAAGGGGGGGAAGAGGCACAGGACGAGGCAGGGGCGAACGAGGAGGCGGGAACGGGAGGCGAGCGCGACGGAGGACGCCGCGGAGGAGGAGGAGGCCCCGGGCCACGCATGGCGCGGCCGCGTCGACGGGCGGGGCCCGGCTGGAGACGACAGAAGCTGTGGAGTGGCCAAATTGAGAGGCCGCCGAGCACGGCTCGCACACTCACATCCAGGAGGGGGAAGCAACACACAGACACAACGAATCGTCGACTCCCAGAAAATATTGGGAAATGATGGGAGTTCTGTTTATTTGTGTGTACTTCTGCGTGTGTGTCCCTGGGCCCCTGCACACACTTGCCCCCAAAAACGCGCCCGAACGAACGCGAGCGGAGTTCCAAGGGAATGCGCATCACGCGGGCAGGGTCCGGCCAGAGCGTGGGTGCAACGCGCGCATGCTGCGGGAGATCGCCTGCTCCTCGTTCGCACGCGTGCTGGCGACCTCGGAGTGTCCACGGCACTCCCTGAGAAGCGTGGGGTTTCTCCCCAGATACGTGGAGCACGCGTTACAGGCCATACACACAAGTGTGCTCCCCGATAACATGCTTGCGCTCACGGCGCACATGCCTTGCTCCGTCCTCCCCCGACTCGGGAGCGACAGCAGCCGCTCCTTTTTGTTGGGCGTGCCCGAGGCCATCATCGCGGTCGTCACCGCCGGGGCCATCAATGCAACGCCACTCTCTCGAGTGAGGCGGAAGAAACGGGCCGCCGTCGCACTCCTGCAGAGGGCTGGGATTGCACTCGAATGTTCTGAGCTGCCTGAAGGACTCTGCCGCACGAGCAAGTCGACCGCACTTGGAACATATATGTTCTCGCAATTTTTGGCAGAGCAGGAAAGTGTGATAGGTGAGGGACAACTTGGGTGCAGGTGGCGGAGGCATGACGCGAGGGGTTTCCGTCCTCGGCCGCAACACTGGACCCGAGTTTAGCAAAGTAGTCGGCCATTCGTTCCCGACATAATCGAAACAATAATCTTCCACACGCAACCCTCGTGTTAAGTCGGGCATGTCGCTCTACAGGAGGAAAAGTCCAACACATCAAACGTGTTATTTCTACTGTTCTATTTTTTGCGGGGTCTTTTTCTGCATTTCGTGCAAAATCAGCCTGTAGGAGGATATGCCCAACCTATTTGCACGCCAGCAAACGACGACGAGGACGACGATGACGCCGACGGCGACGACCACGCTGACGACCACGCTGACGCTGACGGCGACGACGTGGTCCGCACCGAGGCGGCGAACCGGAGCAGGGCGGGCCTACCTCTGGCGCCAGCAAAGGAGGGGGCCGGCAGTCGGCCGTACCGTCCTCGCTGGCAATGAGGTGGCGCGTCGGAGGGCGAGCATCTCGATGGTTTTTTTTTTCTTAGATGCTGAAGGATCAGTGGCAGGTCAGGGGTGCATGATGCATCGACGAGGAGCAGTTTCTTGGAATTGAGGCTTGAGGTTTTCGGTAATGCTCGTATGTTGACGGCGGTTTTGCAGCCTCTGGCGTGTCCCAGCAGCTGCGCCGAGCCGAAGGGGTGACCGGATCTTCCCGAAGGGCAACCGAAGGCCAGAGTTATGGCTCGAAAGCCAGGGGGGGAATGATGCCTCAGAGGGGATCGCATCGGCCCCAGATCGCCCATTCATCGCCGGTAGGGGCCTGATAGCCCACACCGCCCATGAGTTTGCAGTGTCGCCGTCGAGGGCCTGTCGCAAGCCTATCGGCGGCGGATCCTCGAGTTCAGGCTGTCGTGTCCCCCCAGAGTCGGTCCCCCTGTATCGTTGCCCATCAAAGAAGGGGGGCTGTGCGTCCAGGGTCCTCCCTTCACTCGGGTCGGGCGCACGGGGGGGATTGCGAAGAGGGGGGGTCATGGAATCTGCTGCTTGCCTCGGGTTTCTGCGCCCCACCGCTGCGCGCTTTCCTCGATGCACTGGCGCTTCTGGTGAGCCCGTTGCACGCAGCGGGTGTACAAACCCCCTCTCGGCCATCTCTGGCTTTTGTCCGACCTGATTGAGAGGGCAATCTATCACGGAGCAAGTGCCATTCGTTGTTGCGCAGTTTGTTTTGGGGTGTATGAGCTCGCCTTGTCTCTACCAAGAATCACGTCAGGACCTGGGCACAGTGCCTTTGTATGGCGCGGAATGCCAAACACGGGCACCCTGGATCAGCTTTCCAAGATCATGTTTGGATAGTTCGTTTTGCTTGGAATCCTTTGTATCCCCTGCTCTCCCCCACCTTGCTCTCCCCTCCTCCTGCTTCTCATCCTGCTCCTCCTCAGCTGCACGATACCTGCATTACACATTCGAGAGGCCAAGGGTCCAAAAATGCAACGACGGTGCCAGGATAATGTACACAGTTTGTTCTCGTGAGTCGACGTTCCACCCATGGGTTGCGCCGCGGCTTCCTCGATCTGCAGATGCGCAGTAGGATGCGCATTCGGCTGTCGAGAGTAACATTACCCGCTGTTGGTTGCGTCATAGGTTGAGCATTCATCGACCGAAAATATGACAGCATGCTGCTGGTCTCGCCATAGTATACGTGTCGGCGGCCTAGAATCAAGTATCGTAGCATTGGCCGGTGGCCGAGAGTAAAACGACCTTGCGTTGCTTGCGCCATATCTTGCGCACTCGGAGGGCGATAGTCGAATGGCTTGCTGGCGGCTGCGACCACCCCAGTCCAGTCACTTTACATGTGGCGTGCCAAAAAGGGCCTTGCCTTCGAGGATCGAAGGAGCTGCCATCTCTTCCGCGGCGGAAGGCAGCGGAAGGGCGGTGGAAGTAAAACGAGGGCGGCTCCACCGGCGGTAGACCGGCAGGGCGAAAGCAAAGGTCGACCTCCCAAGGGATGACTCACCAGAGACAAAAGTACCACTACCACCAGCTAGGGGGTTGGCTGTCCCACCCTCTCGAGCTTGTGGCACCTCGTTCCGGGCATGCCTCCAGAGAGTTCCCGGAAGGAGGTGCCACCAGCTCGAGGGGAGGGAGCGGCCCCCCCCCTAGCTGGTGGTAGTGGTATTTCGGTCTCTCATGAGTGACAGCATTTTTGGCTTCAGGGTTTCTGGAGTCGGCCAACAAGACAAACCGATTCGAGCCAGGCCAGAACAAATGCCTAAACATTCGATCCGCGATCGTCGCGGTGCCCGCCCTCGGCCAGGGTCGGCGGTGGCAGCGGAGGCGGTGATCGGCGGCGGCTGCCGCGGAGGCAGCCGCAGGAACTCAAAGCATGCCTGTTCGGGGGCGGAAAAGAGGGGGGTGATGACTGGGGGGGGGTGGATATGATGGCGGGGGCCATGATATTTCCCCAGATTTCATGGCGCCCCTCCTTATTTCATTACGTCCCTGGCCCCCCCGCTGGGCCGCGCACATGCCGCCGGTCATGATTTGCACCCCCCCCTCTTGGACACCCCCCTCTTGGCCGCTCCCGACCTGTGTGCGCTGGCCTTAAGTCGGACGTGTCCCTCTATTGGAGGAGCATTCAAATATAAAACCAAAATAGTCAGGGGGCGATTCTTTAAATATGCAGATATAAAAAAAAACATAAAGGTTTGGGGCTATTTATGAACAGTTATTGATAATGATTTTTCTGTCGCCCAAAAATCCGACTGTAGGGAGACACGCCCGACCTATCGCTGGCCCCCGTCGTCGGCGGCGGCGGCGGCGACGATCGAAGTTCGACGGCGAGGGCGGCGGCGTCGACGACGGCCACCAGTGGGCGGGCCTTTAGACGGAGAGCCCGTCCGTCGCCACGCAGAAAAAGGGGGGAGGAGGAGGAGGAGGAGAGAGGAGGAGGAGGAGGAGGAGGAAGAGGAGGAGGAGGAGGAGGAGGAGGAGGAGGCGGAGGAGGCGGAGGAGGAAAAGGAGGAGGAGGAGGAGGAAGAGGAGGTGGAGGAGGAGGAGGAGGAGGAGGAGGAGAGACGAGGAGGAGGAGAGACGGGGAGAAAGAGGATGACGAGGAGGAGGAGGAGGAGGAGGAGGAGGAGGAGGAGGTGCTCCGTAGCCATTTTGGCTCAAGTCCAGGGGCATTGCTCGAGGACTTGCGCCGTGGTAAGGGCGATTTGTGGCCCCCACAGTTTCGCCGGTGTTCGCCCACCAGACCAGTTTCCTGGCGTTCGCCCGCCAGGCACACTCATTCAGTACATTTCGCTTACGGTACCTGTCCAGCCGAGTTCGATGGTGCCTTGTCCTTTTTTCTCTCGCCAGTCTTAGATTCCGCGCGAGGATCGCGGTCATGATGGAGGGGAATGGACAGCCAAAGTACGAAGCCGAGGAGGTAAGTTTTCGCCTGTGCCCCGTGTTCGCTGCGGGTGTCGGAAAAAGCTTCGTGCACTACACATGGTGCAAGCATTGCAAATCCCCCGTCGTCGATGTCCAGCCCGCTGTTCCCCACGCGCCGCAAGGAGCTTGGACTATGCAGCTGGAGTTGGCTAAAGGAGCGGTGGCGAAGGGAGGAGGCAAATGCAACCAGGTCGCTCAGCAATCTACGTCCGCTCCAGCTTCCAACAAGCAGCGCACTTCCCTTCCGAAGTTTCAGTGCCATCTATGTCCGAGAAGGAGGCCCAGACGTTGTCGCTCAAGGCTGGGGACCACGCCGCCGCCAAGTATTACGACCAGCTCGCCAAATCGCTGGGCGCGCCCAAGGCCCAGGAGGTGCCCTTGCATCAGTTCCGGCAGCAGCTGGCAGCCGACGTCGAACAGCGTGAGCGGAGATTGGAGCACGAGTTCGCGAAGCCCACGAAGTAGCGGGCAGAGTTGGAAGAGCAGAAGCGCCTGGTGTTGCAGTGTAAGGAAGAACTTTCTCTGCCGATGAACTCTACCAGGAGCGCGTGCAGGAGCTTGCGGCTGCCGCTTCGCCCAAAGCTGAGGCCCCCCCCTGCGAAGGTGGACATCAAGGACTTGGTCGAGGGCAAAGTTGACTTCGCAACTTTCTTCAACCTGGACAGCGTGCTGGACGTGCAGCGGGATGTCGAGGATATTGAGCTTACGGCCGAAGATCAGAAGGAGCTCCAGATTCGGAAATCGACGATGTCTGAGGCTATCAAGGAGCGCGCGCCGGACCTCTTCAAGGGTGCCCTGGATGCGTCTCAGAAGGCCCGCGAGGATCACGATAAGCATAAGTCAAGGCCCACCAAGAAGAGGAACACTGAGGACGGCGCCAAGGCTGGAAGTCTCGCAGGGACGACGCCTGAAGGTGCTGGTGCAGAGTCACTTGGAGACGCTCGCCCCGCTGCACCTGCGTCGGCGCCCGCTGCTGAGCTCAACATTCGTCAATGCGCGGATGAAGCGCTGTCGGGCGAGGCCCCCTCCACGGCACCACCGGCTGCGCGAGGGGGTGGGCTGCGATGACTTCAGCTGCTCAGCCTCGTCGTCGTCTTCTCGGTTGCCTTCGAGGACACGACTGTCGGTGACCAGGACTGCAAGAACCCAGCCGTCGTCGTCGCCTGCTGATCCATCTGGCGCCGCCTTGCTCCAGCACGTGCGTCATTATATCCGTCTTCCTCCAGTAATTGAGCTGGCTGAGGAAGAGTCTTTCGGACAGCTCATGAGTTTTTTTGTTCCCCGCGCAGCGCTGGAGCTGGCTGGCGGGGGGCTCGTCGGACAGTTCAAATCCAGGCCTGTCGGCCAGACTCCCCCCCCACCCTGCGCTGGGTTCACTCTCGAAAATCGACGCGCCAGAAATCCTTGCGGAGGCTCTGCTGCTTCGCTTTCCTTAGAGGAGCTTGCCCTTTACTGTCAAAACTTAATTTGAGTCGCTGGAGCCGACCCTGTCATTACTGACATGTGTGCATGGGTGGAGGGAGACAGTCTTCCTGCTCTGCGCTCTCGCTGCACGGCTGCAGCCAGCCGCAGAGCTAAAGGGCAGGTGCCCGCTCCTGTTTCCGCAGTTCATATGCTCGTCTCCTGCGCCATACTTGCCGACCCAGCACGCCCCAGAGTTAGAGATGTCCGCCACGTCGCTTGCCGCGCTGGTTCGCTTGGAACCAGAGGCTCTCTCAGTGTTTGGACGGCCGGTGTCAACGCGTGGGGCGCGCTCTGGGATTTCCTGGGCGGGGGAATCGACGCGCGCGTTCTCCCCGTTCAGGGTCATTGCCTGAGAGATCCAGAGTTGATTAACCAAGCCTTTGACTCTTTGGTTCGTCTTGGGTAACGATCAGCATGGCTTTCGCGCATTCCCGGCCCCTACGATGACGATTCGTCGGGAGTCTCGGCGATGGCCAGAGCTTGGCTGGGATTATACGAGGTAGAGGGAGGCAATGGCATGACGCCTGGTCGCGCCTTGGCTTGTATGGTACATGCCCCAGGTTTCCTTCGCTCTGCGTGGCCTCCGTGTATCTGGGGCGCTCCGTGGGCCTCGACTTCGGCGCGTGCGAGGTATTGCTCCAAGCTGGGGTCGTTCCTGAAGAATCTAGAGGGCGAGTTCATTGTTGCAGGTGGTCTCACCCACCCACCCACCCCCGATATGCACCGGCCTGGGTTCGTGCAAAAAACAGAGGGTCATTTTGTGCGCGCCGTTGATCGCACTCACTACCTCCCCAGAGTGCCCGAGATGCGCGTGACTTCGTGGTTGTCTGTCGCTTTGGGCAGGGGCGCATGCAACGTCAGCGATGCTAATGACACCGCGCTGCGTTCTCATGGACCAGTCCGCCTTTCCTTCCATCCCCGGCTCCTGCACTTGACGGCCTTCCGCGAGCCGCCGTCGCCGCCACTCGCCCCGCCGGTGGGCGCGGGCCCTCAGCTTGGAAATGAGGAGTTGTACCAGGTAAAGGATGCGATTAGGGGGGCCACGGACAGAGTCGGGAGAGGGGGCGGGGATGAAGTTTGCGATGCGGTTGCGAGACTTCATCGAGCGTGGGCTGATCAAGCGGAGCTTGGCTTGGAGCACACGCCGGGATGCGATCTGTCCATCCGCGGGGCCACGGGGAAATTTGCCGACGTGCATAGGGAATCTTTTGTGAAAATCCACAAGAGTTCAGAGGATCCCATTCTCCGTGGTCTCCGCTGGCTTGAAGGCCAGACCCGCGCGCCCCCCTGCATCCTGCAGGGCCTGCCGAGCTCTGGAGGCAAGACGCCGAAAGTCAGCCAATCGCCCCAGGCTCCATCGTCGTTGGCGACGGAGGCCATCCAGGCCCATGCTTCTCGTTTACATTTAATCGTCAGCTAAGGTTTCCGAGCTCCGCTGGATGGCGAAGTCGATTAGACTCAGTCTGAAATCGATGTTTTTTTGGCCGAAGACCTCGCCCCCGCTCTAGCTGAGGCGAGGGCGACGGCGGCGGCCGCCAGCAGGTCATCGCGGCAGGAGCGGCTGCAGGAAGGGCTGGATGAAAGGAGGCAGGCGCGATCACTTGGTCACCCGGGGTCCTCAGCCTTGGACAGCATCGACCACCCGCAAGAGCCGCGGCTGGATTTTCGCCGACCTTCGCTCCCTGCTCCAAGCTGAAGGGATGAATTTGGGGGCCGCCTGGGGCGTGGGTCAGGGCCCTGAGTCTGGTCCTCTTGAACCACAGTGCCAGCGCTGTTTCGCTGGATGGTTTCCACCTGTGGCATTATAGCCTTCTCGGCGACGTAGCTCTCGAGGCCTTGGCTGGCGCGACGTGGCTCTTGGAGTCCGTGGGCAGACTTCCCCGGCACGTGGCAGTGATTATTGTGGCCCTTATTGGGGGGCCCCTTGGGGGCTTCAGGCCCATTGGGGTCTTCGTTTCCCGGCGCCGCCTCCGGGGGTGGGCGCGTCGCCCTGTGGCCCTTCAATGGGAAATCGACCGCCCGAGGGCCTGCTGGGCCGCTGGTGCACGCAGAAGCGCCGCGGATGTGGTTTGGCGCCAAGGCTTCAAGGCCGAAGCTGGGGCAGTCCGCCGACAGGCCTCAGCCTCTCCCGTCTGGGACATGAAGAAGTATTGTTATTGTATTTCGCTGAAGCACCTCGAGCACCAGTGCAAGGTCCACGACTTTCCTCGTTGCATCGCCAGGGTTTGTCTCGCAGCCTACCGTCGTTCGGTTCGGTGCCTCTCGTTCGGGGGCATCCTGGAGGGTCCCTTCTGCGTCGAGTCAGGAGTGGCCAAGGGTTGTTCCATGGCCCCGAGCTTCATCGACTCCAGCGCTTATGTGTGCGACGCGGGCCTTTCTTTCCACCACTGGTGCTCCCGCTGTTGTCGCCTCCTGTTTAGTGGGGAGCGTCCGGGCTCTCCGTCGCGTCACCGCCAAGGTTTTCGGCAGCTCACTGGCTATGAACAAGATGGGCCTGGTCAGCAGCAACCGTCGGGTGGCCCAGCAGCTTCAGCTGCAGCTGGGACCACTGCCAGGTGTTGCCTCGCCCCCAGTAATTAGTCAACTGATGTGTCGACTACACTGCTGGGCGCTCGCTTCGCGCGCGGGTGGCTGGCAAGAGTAGAACTAGCAAAATCAAGGAGCGCATGGCGTTCGCTCGCAGGAAGGCCAGTCTCAGGAAGCACGGCGAAGCCCCCGGTAGGAAGGCGCTTAGGACCCACGCCCCGGGCCCGTTGGCCAGTGGGACGTATGGGGCTGAAGCCTCCTGGATGAATTGCGCTGAGTTGCACTTCTGTTGCTCCCAGGGGGTGCGCGCGATTGCGCCGACATTCAGAATCGCCATCTCTCTGCTTGAAGGAGACCCACCATGGAGGGTTGGAGGGTAAGTATGGCTCCGTCGGTTAAATGCTCCAAAAATTTTGGCTCACCCAGGCGCGTCAATTCCGAGGGTCCGTCCTTTCATGGCTTGAGGAGTTATCGGGCTGTGGTCTTTAGGCGAGATGACTCGTCTCGGGCCAAGGTCTCCGGGCCGCTCAGCGCGCTTGGGACGACAATGCAGCGGTTCGGTTGGACGAGGCCGTCGTTCTGTGCAATCGTCGGCAATGGGGGGGGCGAGCTCAATATCATGGTGCTCCCGCCTCGTCTTGTCTGTCAGCTTGGAAGGGCTGCCGTCTGTAAGGGTCTTGAAGGGGATGTTGGGCCTAAGTTCGGGGTTCCCCACGGGCTCTGTTTGGGCGCCGTCCGCAAAAAACTTCATTCCAGCATATCTCCAACGAGGACAAGTCCACTATGAGAGCCATCGCGTCCACTGCCATATGCACGCGGTCTGCTGCGTAAGATTCTGGGTGCCAGATATCCGTGGCATGCGATCTCTGCGGAGAAGAATATGACGCGCTGTGGCGCGGTCTTTGGCAGCGCAAGGGGTGCGCAGATGTTCGCGATCAGGTATTGTATGCAGATGTTGTCGCTGAAGCGATGGAAACCAACGCTGAACGATGTGAGTACGCCTTGTTCATGCATGGTGTTTGTCGGCACCGTGGAGATGAGTTACTTCGACCGTTTAAAGATTGATTGGTTCACGTGGATTGGTCAGTCAGTGAAGCCACGCCCCCTGGAGCTTTCGAGCCCATCTCCACGCGCCCTGATCTGGGGTTCGGGGGGACGTGTTTCTGGGTGGCAGTTGTTCAACCACAATGCTTATGAGTTGTCTCGGGCGGGCTCGTGTTTGGCCATGGTAGATAGCAGCGCCAACCTTATGTGTGAGGTCGATGCGCCAGTGTGGTAACCTTACCCGCAGACGCCACAATCTGCTGAGTTTGGAGCGTTTGGCGCGCTGGCTTTCGCACTTGATGATGCGGCTGCCTGTTCAGTGATTATAAAAACGTGGTCGACCTTTTCAAGCAGGGACCAAGCAGGTTCTTGTCGTCGGAACTCAAGCATGCTGGCCCCTAGGAAGTCGATGCTCGCAATGACCTCCATGAGCAAGGCTTGTTCCCGCGTGAAAGACTTGTCAGGCGAAGTAATTGCTTTGCTGGCTGCGCCCTGTGTTCTCACGGTCCGAAATGGAACGCGTTGATCGCACGGTTTCAATTGCCAGAGCTGTTATGGATGCCGTTGCCGCCGTCCTTCCCCTCCTTTCGGAGGGGTTTGGGGTGGAGCGTGCTCCTCGGTTCTGGACCTGGACCTTGTGAAAATCCGGTTCCAGGGGTAATCTAGTTTTGTCCGCTGCAGTGTAGCCCCCGTCTGCAGCCAGGTCTGAGGCGCCGTCGACGGCAGAACCGATGAGGGGGGGAGGAGGAGGAGGAGGAGGAGGAGAAACGAGGAGGAGAGACGAGGAGGAGGAGCAGGAGGAGGAGGAAGAGGAGGAGGAGGAGCAGGAGGAAGAGGAGGAGGAGGAG